GAGAGGTAAAGAAGAAGAAGAAGAAGAAGAAGAAGAAGTACACCAGCAAGACCAATGACAATTCCCCCTTCTCTCTCCACCTTCCTCCTTCCTCCTTCTCTTCACCAATCTTATTCTTCTCTCAACAATAATAATAACAATGAATGGATGAACCAGAATCAATGTCCGAAGTTCCCACTTACTGCTGACTCAACTCACAACAACAACAACAACAACAAGTCCACCATGGCTATGTCTTCCCTCCTTCAACCTCTTCTCTCAAGCATGGGAAAAAGCAGCTATGTCGCTGCTTGACTTGGTCTGCTATCCCTGAACCTGCCTCGAGCTGCCCTGGTGCAGCGTTACCCCAACTGGGACCTTCCAGATGTAGCGCCCAACAAGGTAATGAAGATGGTGTCCACCATAGCTAGGTAAGAGCCCTACCACTCTCCTACCATGTCCCCCTTCTTCCTCCTTCAAGCGGGGGTGCTCGCCATAGCCAGGCTGAGCCCCAGCAGACCTTCATCTCTCAGCAGCGCTGCCTCAGACCAGCGCTGCGCTCCAGCAGCATGTCGCCAATCCTTGCATACCGCAAATGAGGAAGAGCTCACCGCTCTTCCTGAAGATATAGCGGCCTACCGGCCTCCTGAGCGGTGACTTCCTAGGCCAAGCGGCCTCCCAGCAACCGGTACCTCCTCCCTTTTGGAGGGAAACATCATTGCAGGCTCTGTTATTGTCCGCACAGGCCCTAGACCCGGGCTACTTGGACTGGTACCGGCCTACCTCTAACCTACCGCTACTGGGCCTCTAAAAATGCCAACTTTTTCTCTTCTTCTGCTCGGGCTACCTGCTACTTGAGTGTTTTTCCCCAGCTGCTCTAAGTGCCGTGGGCCTACTCCCCGCTACCGGCATGTTTACCCCCCTGCTCTAAGTACTGGCCCGGTGGGCCTTGCAACCAACAAGTACCCTGGCGGGTCACACTCATACCTAACCAGCAAGCACTCAGACAGGCATGCAACCCAGCAGGCACGCACACACACACAACCGGCAAGCACTCAGACAGGCATGCAAACCAGCAGGCACGCACACACACAGACTTGGGACCACAGCAGAATGCAGGAATCACAACATGGCATTCATTCCATTGACAAATCCCAGAAATCAGCAGTGTTCTCAGTCTGTGTTTTGGGCGGGTCATTACACTACTTGCATCGCCATATAGACATATCAGCACATTACAGGCCGCGGTGCCCCTTTTGGCACCATTCGAGTCTTTGAAATTGCCTGATTCTTTTATCACCATCGCCGTTTCCAGGATTGACCACTTGCCATGAATCGATCAATATCAGCAAAGTTGATCAAATAATCAATCCAAAAATCAGTCAAACAGGCGAACAATGAATCAAACGATCAATGAAACAATAAATGAATGAAACAAGAAAAAATAGCACAATGAAGCAATCAATCAAGCAATTCATGGAAGTTATCAGCAAGCAGTCAATCAAACAATCAATCAACAATCAATCAAAGTACATCGCCTTCAGCATCAGCAGCTGCACGTGCACCTCAAACGACCGAGACGGTAACAATGAAGTGCAATAGTTTTTATCACTGAAGAAAGCTGTCCGGTTCACACCCTCCAAGTAGTGTGCAAATGTAAGGGGGAACAAATGAAACTGCAAACGGAAGCGCAAGCGGGAAGCGGCATTGAAAAAATGGACATGCTAACGGAAATACAAATGTGAAGGATCCGTTAGATGTCCAAAAACAAAATCCGAATGCAAGATTACCTCTATTTGTTTGGCCTGTGCTAAGTGCAAAACGGAACCAGGGAGCAGCGAGCATAAGGGCCTTAGTTGCACTAGTCGCCGTCCACCAAAATTTTGAATGAATCTGGATGGGATTTGTCGTTATGCGTTCGAAATCTTGGCAGATGGCGAGTAGTGGAACTAGGCCCTAATTTTTTGAAGTTAAGATTTTAGGTAAAGGGTTTGTATGTGTACTCAGTTCTTCAGAATCTGTTCTCTACTTATCATATGGTTTCCTTGTTGAGGAATAACTTTGCACAGCAGGCAAAAGACATTACGTGCCTGGTTCCCTTGTTTAGGAATAACTGCTGTGATGAGATGCCTCGAGGTCACCCTTAAAAAAAAAAAAAAAAAAAAAGAAAAAAGAAAAAAAAGAGTTATTGAATTAATGAACAGATTATAAGATTTCCTGGAGGCTTTTCAATACTCTGCAGAAGAGGCCGTTGAGAGAAATGCATGTTGAACACACTCCTGTCTCTTGAGCAGTTCGTTTCCGTGTGCCTGAGAATCATTATTTCTAAGCCTTTTTTGTAGGTCGTTGTGACTTTTGTTTTTTTTTCGTCCCCTCCCCCCCCACGTCCTAGCATTTGTGTGTGCGTGTTTGTTGAGAATGTGCTGGTTGATGGTGGTGATCGTGGTGGTGACGGTGTGGTCATACTGGGGCGTCTCGCGCAGATGCGAAGAAGGTTGTCGAGTTTGGACCCAAAGGTTGTGTACCTCCTCCAACTCCTCATGACGGCTGGAATACTATATATAGGGTACCGGACATCACCGATTATTCTTTTTGTATTTTCGGTCTGTATTACAGCAATGCTGTTCTCAACGTTCTTGGCGCAATGGGTGCTTTCAAAAGACGAAGGTCCACCTGAGATGTCCGAGGTAAGTTGTGTGCTCCTCTTTCCATGAAAGGCCCGGGTGAGATGTCTGAGGTCTGAGGTTCTGTTACGTGCAATGAATGTTCCACCATCTGAACTCCACCCTCCCCCCCCCCTCTTTCCCTCCTTCCTTCCACCTTCGTCCCCCATCTGCTTTCCATTTGCCTCTGTCCTGAATGACTTGCTGAATTTTTTTTTGGGCTATTCCATTTGCAGTATGTCCTTGCCTCTTCCTCCATCGGGCTCAGCAGAGCCTCACCTATGCCCTTCGCTCCTTTGTCAAGCTGCCTCCCCATACTCCTCGTCCCTGCAAATGGGGTACCCCTTCCCTTGTTATTCAAGATCGCCCAAATTATTACCCTTTGGACAAAGTCTCTCAAAAGAAAAAAGGCCGTTTCAATTTTTTATATAACGGTGATAGTTTTGGGCAGAGCGTGAGGAAAACCAAGGGGCCCAAGGAAACCCAAAAACTTCCCATCCCATTCACAAGCACAAAACCTGTGAGAAGGACTGTCCCCCCTTCCCCCCCTCTTACCCCTGTTGAATATGTACTGATCATTGAATCCGTCTTCAAATGGGGTCAATTATTCTGTGATGCTGATCTCTATGGACATGTTTTTAGGTTTATTTGGGTAGAATGTGGCTGTTATTGTGGTCGGATGCATCAAGGAAAGTCCTGGTGCCAGTATGCCGTAATTATGTCTATGGGGGAGAGGGGGAGGTGTCTGAGCAAACCATGTGATGCTCGACAGCGTGCTACCTTGCAAGCCACAGTGAGTTTCCCTATTGTGAAGTATTGAGGGTATCTTCCAGGTGTTTGGTCTTTGCCCTCTCCCACAGTCTTGGTGTTATTCTCTGGCACGATATGTCTGCCAGGTAGTTGGTGCTGATATTGATTTGTGCTGTTTTACCGTTGGACCAGTTACTTTTACCAATGGTTTGTAGACCCTAGTTCTAGCCTGGCTCTCTTGAAATTCAGGCAAGGAGTCAGAAAGTTCACAGAACGTGTTCATCAGGTGGTGCAATGAACTTGCACAGAAGTTGTACAAGATATGGATAAGGATGTTGGAAGTCCCCATAAGGAAAGTTAAGGAACTTTTCGACTGAAATCACCGACTGCCTGCTGATTATCTGTTGGTATGCCACCGAATTTTGTTGAGGCCTGCATGAAGGCCTCCACAAATTTGGCAGTACTCATGCCTGGCCTGTATATGCGTAGATGGGAGGCGGTGGGGCTTTACTGGTAGTGCAGTGATTGCGACGAAAAAGACTTGAGTTGCTTGCTGAAGCCATATTCAGGGCGCGACTCGCACTATTATGACTTCTCCCCTTTTCATGTGGAGGTAATTGCAGTCAGGTGCATCCAGGAAAGTCTAGTGTGAGTATGACCTCACCCGTGTATTTTTTGGACCTAATCTGGCTGCAATTGCTGTCATGTATGTCATTGAAAGCCCTAGTGTTGGTGTGCCCTTTAACCACCAGCACTTTACCCAGCCATTTTGTGCTGACCCGGCCGTAAATGTGATGCGCCCTTCAGTCTGGTTAGGACTGCCAGACTGAAATGGCTGGTGGCGCCAGGCAAAAGCAAAAAAATGTGCCTGCTCCGTTTTCTTTTTTTTTAATCACCCTGCAGCAAAAATTGTTCCGGGAAAAAGTGCCGTAGAAGTACTGCTGGTTTTATCTTGCGAATATTGTCACAAATCTGTTTGGAACTGTGGTCAGATCCCTACACTTACAGAAATCGCTATTCGCGATCTTAAGACTTTAAGACTTTAAGACCGCGTGGCGATCCAGGTCGTCCACTGGTTCGTCGAAATCGCTATTCGCGATCTTAAGACTTTAAGACTTTAAGACCGCGTGGCGATCCAGGTCGTCCGCTGGTTTGTCGCGCGATCTTAAAGTCTTAAGATCACGCGGAAATCCGGACCGTCGGGCCAGTAGGACTGCGGGCGGCCTGGATCGGCGGGCCCGTTGCAGGCCGGCGCTTTCCCTGCATTGAAGTCCAATGGACCCTCTCGCCTGCCCACCTCGACTCCGCCACCCGCTCCCGCCTTCCGGCGCCCCCAACCTCCGCCTCCTCCAGCCATCTCCCCTCCCCACCGCCTACCATCTCCTCTTGGCCTTCGCCCACCATCTCCTCTCCACCTCCGCCGACCTCTTCTCTGGCCGGTGCCCACCTCGCCTCCACCTCCGCTCACCTCCCCTCCGCCTCCTCCTGCCATCTCCTCTCCACCTTCGCCCACCTCCCCTCCGCCACCGCCCACCATCTCCTCCCTGCCTCCACCCACCTCTTCTCCGCCCGGGGGCCACCTCGCCTCTGCCTCCGCCCGCGGGTCCCCTCCCCTCCGCCTCCCCCCACCCCTTGGGATTCCTCTGCCACTTCTCCATCGGCATTCCCCCACCTGTTCTCCTCCGCTCCTGCCTCCACGTACAGTCACCTCCGCCCACCTCACATCCGCCTGTGCCAACCTCACCTCTTCCCACCTCACCTCCACCTCTGCGCACCTCTGCCCTCCTCACCTACGGCCTGCCTACCATAGCGGTCTCTCTCTCTCTCTCTCTCTCTCTCTCTCTCTCTCTCTCTCTCTCTCTCTCTCTCTCAGTGCTTGGTATGCCGTTCTTNCTCTCTCTCTCTCTCTCTCTCTCTCTCTCTCTCTCTCTCTCTCTCTCTCTCTCTCTCTCTCTCTCTCTCTCTCTCTCTCTCTCTCAGTGCTTGGTACGTCGTAGCACGTTGTTCTTGGTACTTTGTGCCCTATGGTCTTGCCCACGCGACCTACTGACTTGCCTACGCCCACCTAGGCGACCTATGCGACCTAGGCGACCTACCTACAGCCTACGCGATCCATGCAACCTGCCTACGGCCTGCCTACCGTAACTGTCTCTCTCTCTCTCTCTATCTATCTCCCTATCCCTCTCTCTCCCCTGCCCCCTCTCTCTCTCCCTCTCCCTTTCTTTCTCTCAGTGCTTGGTACTTCGTGCTTGGTCGTGTTTGGTTCGTGCATCGGTGCCACTTTTGTGCTTGCTTGGTGCAACTGGGTGCATTTGTGCTACTGCGTGCTTGATTTGGTTTCGGTGCTACGTGCATCGGCGGTTGGTTCGTGGGATCCGTGCTTCGTGCTAAGTGCAACGGTGCTACGTGTATCGTGGAATCGGTGCTTGGTTCAGTCTGGCATAGCCGAACCTTTTTTTATGGAGTTGTCTAAAGCGAACATGACATCACACACACACACGCAGATGCATCTTGGGCAGACTGTCGGGGTTCAACCTCCGATGAAACAGTCTGGACAGTCATGCTTCCTTTTTGGCGTGCACGAAGGCACGAGCGAGCGAGCGAGCGAGAGAGAGAGAGAGAGAGAGAGAGAGAGAGAGAGCACCTGACCATGACAACGCTGACATATGAAGATGACCAGGAAGGAGCATGAGCATGATTTACGAGGACAAGGTAAGATAATAATGACATCAATCACTGATTGACAGAATGGAGTGGGTAAGGAAACACAAGCTGCTTCATGTGGGGTCGCAGCCAGTGGCTGGATGGTTTATCCATTTTCATTCTTTTCGGTTTCTTTGGCGCAGATTCCCTGAACTGACCAGGTAATACAGAGTTATACAGATGCAAGCGGAAGACTTGAGATACCTTGGACTGACTCAGACCTGACTCGGACTGCAATCGAAACACTCTCAAACATTCATCAGGGTGTGGATGCCCTGGCCTCAGACATAGACGAAAGGCTAGGGACTGAGATCATACACGGACGAAGGGAGAGAGGGGAGAGACGAAGGAGGAGAAGAGGGAAGATGACGTCAACTCAGTGTTTCCAAAGATAGTATCTTGAACTGTCAGAAGTGACGAAAATCCGAAATGTCGCGAATGACAAGCCTCACAATATCCCAGATGTCGATCTCACAATGTCAAGTGCATCTTTGGAAGGAAGTTGAAATCAGATCGCCAAATAGTCCTCAACTCGTAACCCCAATGTCGCTGTCTCTGATGTCATCAGAATTCGTAACCATCTCCCATACTCATGGTAGTCCGGAACCCAGACTTAGAGGAGTAGAAGGAGAGCGAGAGAGAGAGGGGAAAAGAGAGAGAGAGGGAGCGGGGGTAGAGGAGGATAGAGAAGGGCGAGGCCTTTCTCTCTGTTACCGTAGAGGTAGCTATGGCGCTGCCGTTGTAGGTGCTGCGCCAGTCCTGCCTCGCCGCTGCCGCTATGTCTCGATGCTCCGGTCTCCCGCTGGGCGCTGCTGAAAGCTGCGCTAATGCTGAAGCTGCGCTAATCTGAAATGCTGCGCTAACCTGGAGAAGCTGCGCTAATCCTGATAAGCTGCGCTAATCCGAAGAGCCTCTAACCTCTACCTGCTAACCTACCGGACTGAGGCTGGTACCCAGCCTTTTGTAGTGCTGGGCCGGCCTCTTACCCGCTGGTACCTACCGGTCTGGACCGTTGATCTAGATCAATGGTCCAGTTTTGAAACTGGTTGGCGCCTAAATTGTGGCAGCCTCTGAACCACTGCCGGTAGGTCCTAGGCTGGACCGGTACCGGCCTTGTGGCCGTTTGGCCTGGGCCTGCCTGAACCGCCATGGTCCAGGCCCATATGGGTCTGATCTGAACCGTCGTCCCTTAGGCCTACCCTGCATGTCTGGAACCGGGCCCTAACTGGGGCCCGTGTGGCTCAGTATGCCACACACTCCCCCCCTTGAAAGACCGAGCTAACTGCGAGGGCGAAGCTGTCTTGTTCGATGTTCGTACAGGGCGGGCAGGTTGGGCCAGCTTCCTTAGCAAGTCGCTGTTTTTCGTAATGCGCGAAGATGAGGGGTGCTGTCGCCTTCAGATCAGCTTGTGAAATCCAGCGTGTGTCGTTCGGATCGCATTGCTTGAATGTAACTTTGTACTGCATCGGCTTGTTGCCATGCTTGCGATGCGTGAGAACGAGGTCAACCTCCTGATGACCATCCATGGAAGGAGGGTCCTGTGACCGTCTGCCCAGGAAGTCCGTTGCGGAGGCTGGAGAGTAAACCGCCAACTTTGAAGCGTGAAAGATTAGGTGGACCGTCAAATGCGGGGGAATCTCAACGATGAATGATGGGCCCGCGGGGTCGTCGCGAGCTGCCGAAGTGACCATCCATGGTCCAAACCACTTAGGCAGGAGCTTGCACGAGACGTCTTGCTCGAGCGCGAATTCCTCGGAGACGACCCAGACTAGGTCGCCAGCCCGAATTGGACATGGGATGCGACGCCGGTTCGGTTGCTGCTGCATACAGACCTGAGCCTTTTGCATGTTTGCGCGGGCTTTGGCCAGCAGTTCCCTGTACTTCCGTGTAGAAGCGGGGGAGCAAGTGGCGTTTATATCGGCAGCCTGTGGAAGCAAAATGTCTGCGAAGATACGTCCTTTCCGTCCACCATGGTGCAACTCGAATGGAGTCACGCCAATCGCCGGGTGCACCGAAGTGTTGTAGGCGAACTTGATGTCGGGAAGGCGGTCAACCCAGTCCTTCTGATCCGGGCGGACGAGTGTGCGGAGCATCATCTGTGCGGTCTGGTGCGCACGTTCCGTTTGCCCATTCGTTTGAGGATGTCGTGCGGAGTTCGGTTTCATGCTGGTGTCGGATTCCACCATGAGTGTCGTTCAAAAGGCGGACATGAAACGAGTGTCGCGGTCGCTGACGATGTCTTCCGGAATGCCGTGGCTGCAAAACGAGACGGTATACAAAAGTCGTGCGAGCTCGGGAGCCGTCGCATGATACTTGCATGGAAGAAATCGAGCGTACTTGCTCAAACGGTCAACGACCGTGAGAATACCATCATAACCAAGGCGATCGCGAGGGAAAGGACCGGTCACATCCATAGCAATGGAGAGATGCGGTGCCCGAGGAATCGACAATGGTCTCAGTTCGCCGTAAGGGAGCTGATGGCGCCCTTTGTTCCGGTGGCAAACTGCACATGACTGAATATACCGGTTGACGTTGCTGATGATGTCCGACCAGTGAAAACGCTGGCGGAGTCGTGCTAGTGTGTGTGCGACGCCAGGGTGTCCCGCCAGCCGCGAATCATGGTATTCGCCAAGGAGGCGAGTGCGCAAGATTTAGGAACATATAACAAGTCCTTGCCTCGTGTATGAAGAAGCAAGTAACCGTCGACAATGCAATAGTTGCGTGCCGGCAGTTGGTCTGATGATAAGTCCGCATAGAGTGTGGAGAATCCCGGATCCGACTTGTAGCTGTTTATGAAGTGCTGTTGCAGGTTCTCGTCGAGGCCGAATGTGGAGTGCACCAAGTCGCAAAGATCAGGTCTTCGCGAGAGCGCATCCGCTGCCTTGTTCGAGGAGCCCAGAATGTGCTTGGAGGTGAAGTCGAACTGGTCAATGAAGTACATCCATCGACTGATCGTGCTGCTCACCGTGTCTTGCGTCTTGTAGTACGTCAACGGATTGTTGTCCGTTGCCCACGTGAATCGCCGACACCCGAGGAAAAAGTGACGCCAACGCTTAAGTACGGTGACAAAAGCTAGGAGTTCACCTTTTGGCTGAAGTACTCAACCGGATGCCAGTTTGTGCCGTCATGCTGTTCCAAAACCGCGCCAATGCCATAACCGGAAGCGTCCGTAGTCACTTTGGTGGGCAAAGTCGGGTCGTAGATGCTTAAGACGGGAGCTTGAAGCAAAGCCGCCTTCAGCGTGTGAAACGCATGCCGGGCCTCGTCGCTGAACTCGAAGGGCACCAAGGGGGACTGAAGTCGCGACAATGGTGCAGCGATACGTTGGAATCCTTTGACGAAGCGCATGTAGTATGATGCCAAGCCGAGAAAGGAGCGGATGTCGGTAGTACACTTGAGGTCCGACCAATCTTGAATAGCTTGTACCTTGTTCGCGAGCGGACGAATGCCTTGCGGCGTGACATAATGGCCTAAGTACTCCAGCTCTTGCTGGGCAAACTCGCACTTGTCGCGGTTCGCCTTGTACTTGGCGATACGAAGCCACTCCAAAACGGCGCGAAGGTGCTCGGGATGCTCGTCCAGCGTTCGGCTGTAAACCGAGATGTCATCGAGGTCAACGAGCACGGTGCGGTCGAGCAAGTCGCGGAATTCCATCGTAATTGCCGCTTGGAAAGTAGCCAGGGCATTGGTGAGACCGAAAGGCATGACGATCCACTCAAAGTGCCCATATCGCGTCTTGAACGCGGTTTTGTACCGGTCTCTTGGCTGGATCTCATCGGATGATATCCGGACTTGAGGTCAAGCTTTGAGAAGTACTTGGCGCCGCCTAGTCGCTCGAGAAGATCATCGATCCGAGGGAGAGGGCCGACGTTCTTGATCGTTTGCGCGTTAAGTTTCCGATAGTCGATGCACAAACAAAGGTCCTTGTTCTTCTTCCGGACGAAGAGAACGGGAGCACCGTATGGCGAACAGCTAGGGCGAATCTAGCCCTTGGCTAAGAGGTCGTCTAGTTGTGCCCGAAGCACTTGAAGTTCCTCTTCGCTCATGTGGTAGATACATCCGCGCGGAAGTACGACGCCGTCCTCGAGAGTGATCCCGTGGCGTATGGGCCGATCCGGTATGACTCCAGCGTGAGCTTGAAAGACATCCTCATAGCTGTCCAACAGCTCAATGATGCGTGAGTCCGASGTATTCGTCTTGGGCTGATCACCGGGTGGGAGGGCGTGAAGAAAACATATGCCCATCTCCTCGATGTCGTTGCGCCGGATGGATTGGCGAATGCTCGCCGCGGATGCCACGTGACAACCAATCGAAGGATGAGGAAGCGGCACCGTACACGGGACTAGTTCGCCGCGCCGATCACGAATGTGAACGGTGCGTTGATGGAAGTTCACCGGATGGTCTTCGCTTTGCAGCCACGACATGCCTAGGATCAGATCGAACTTGGTGTCCAATATGTCGAAAGACACGGCCTCGCATGCTAGCGGGGCAAAGTACACGGGCACCGAGTCAACGCATCGGTCGATTGACTTTTGCGTGTGACCATCGGCCAACGTGACGTGGGTAGGCTGACTTTTCCTTCGAATGCGCGGGCCAAGCCTGGCGCGTGCCGTGAAGTCTTGGCTGATGTAGTTGCGAGTCGCTCCACAATCGATCAAGCCACTGCAGGTCGCCTTTCCGATCTGAATGCGGATGTAGAGGAGCGGCGCGTTGTTGTCGACCGACCGTTGCGTTGCATACTCGCAGTCGATCTTCCCAAGATAGTTACGAAGGTCAACAACCGCTACTTCGCCGCCTGTCGACGGAGGTGGTACTGCAGCGTGCAAGTATTCGCGTAGATGTGCCATTAAGGCATTGCAATGCGGAGTTGGCAAGGAACCGGTGGAGGGAAGAGGCAACCATTGGAAGTCCTCAACTGTCAACGGATCGAGATCCTAAAGTCTCGTCCAAGTTGACGGATCCTCCGATAGGAGGGCTGGCGAAGCAACCGGTTCGTTGTCCGACGACGGAACTGCCGCACATACGCTTGAATCTTGCACGTGGAGAGGCAGGTTCAACGGTGGGACCAGCTCGACAACATAGTTCTCAAACTCGACGTGAGAACTTGCGACTACCGCGGTGTCCCCGGAGACTGCTAGCAAGGCAGCCGACTCCGGCGGACTGGGAAATGTTGTCGCTGCACTTCCCGCGGTGCTCAGTTTCGGGAGCCTGAACGCTTGACATTTTCCTTGTCGTTGTCGAGGCAGGCACTGGTGATGTGTTTGGTGCTATTGCACCACAAACAGCATGACCACTTCTGTCGCAACTTAAACATTTCTTCGGTAATGCCAGATTTCGTCCATGGTGCTTGTCGTGCTCCATCCGCCGACGCTTCTTTCGCCTTCTTTCCCCCTCGTGGTTTCGTGCGTCGTGGTGGTATCGCTGCCGCCACATCTCCATCACTTGATGTTGAAGCAGCTGTGTGGTCCTCACTTGTTCCTTGTTGGACTGCTGCTACTTGCTGCGTCCGTTGTCCCTTGCCTTTCTCCACGTAACCGGGCTGTTGGCGGGGCTCGTTAGCCGCACGCTGGTTACCTTGTATAAGTTCTCTAGCTTTGGCGATCATGTCGTCAAAGTTCTTATACTCGAATTCGCTGCCGAGAGCAGCTGTCAAGGCGTCGCAAGATCGGGCGAAGAACTCGCCTCGGATCGAGTTGAACGGTAGGTTCAACTCCGGGGTGGGGACGAGTCTTTGCCACTCCGTCAGCCATTCCCGCGAAGGTTGCTGGCCTTGGAAGATGCGGAAGATCTTGTTCAAGGCGTGACACGCTTGTCGTTGTTCACCATGAACCGGGTCTTCCACTTCTTTTCAAATTCCTCCCACGTGATCTTCGTGTGGAGGGTGGCGATGGTACATTCGAGCGTGACGGCCATGTGCGTCATGAATTGTTGCGCTCCGCTTATAAGTTGGAGGTACAATGCGTCCATCCGCCGTAGGGGCGGAGTATGATGTACGTCGGCCTCCGCGTTGATTGCCATCCACCATTGCAGCGGATCCGTCTTGTGGTAATCGTCGAACTTCTCGATCTTGAAGTTCGGCATCTTCCATTCCTTGGCGGCAGCGGTCTGTCAGTGGTCGACGCGGTCGCTGAGCGTCTGCAGCTGATTGCTGACTGTCAACGCTCCAGCAAACTTGCTGATGTCGCCCAGGGATGCGACGCTGTGATTGATCCGCTCATCGAGCTGTTTGGCTAGAGTGGCCAAAGCTGGGCTCCTGTCTGAAACTGCACTGCCCGTTGACTCGACTGCGGACAGTCGTGCCATCCCGGCATCGACGGTGTCCTGCAGTCGGTCGTTGATGGCCTGCTGTTGGCTGTCGGCGGCCTGCAGCATGCTGGTGTCGGCCTGCAGGGCCGTAATCTGCTGATCCATAGCCTTGAAGTTGCCTTCATGGCGGATGAGGACCTGCCGCATAGCCAACAGTTCACGTTGCTGCCAATTGCACGTGTACAGCAGGTTCTCAATTAAGACTGCTGTAGTTTCCCTGTTTCTCTCGTCCTCAGTTGGTTCTTCTTGCTCCTCAGTTGTTCGGAAGTGCTGCTGTCGAAGTACTCTGCCATAGGCGGCTTCTTCGTTGAGAAGGTTCATGGCAGCCTGRAACCGAGCCTGAGTCTGACTTGCCTCGAGCTGCTGCTGCTGCTGCCGTGCGGCTGCTGCAGAGTCGGCAGCGGCCTGCTGACGTGCTGCCTGTTCCGCTTCTTGTTGGAGGCGGATGGCTTCCCGTCGGGCGGCATTCTCCTTCTCCCATGTGCGGAGTTCGGTGGCATTGGTCTCCGTATACTGTTGGAGACGCTCGAGAAACGCGAGTGCGTCCTCATCTGCCCGTTGAACTGGCACAGGAGGGGGAACCGGCCTCTTGGGACTGCCCGGCATGTTGCTGTCGGCGTAGCCGGCTGCTGCAGCCATGGCTGTGCGTCGCTTGCGCGGGATCTGTGGTGCCTTGGATCCCTGTTGGGGCTTGGCGGTCTTAGATTCGCGCTCTGCCAATCGTTGGCTGCGGCGCATTTAGTGTCCGGCTGCACGTTGCTGCTGACGTGGCACTGTGCTGATGTGACACTCTGCTGACGTGGCACTTCTGACGTGTCACTCTGCTGACGTGTCACTCTGATGTGTCACTGCGCTGACGTGGCACTCTGTTGACGTGTTCGGAGACTGTAGTCTGTAGGACCGAGAGGAGGAAAGAGAAGGTAGGTGTGGGAAGAAGGGAGGGCAGGCAAGTAATGCACAGACAATCCCTTTTTCCCTGACCTCGTAGTCTGACACTAATCAAAGAGGAAAAAAAAAATAAAATTCCCTCCCGGGCGGATTTTCGAATTTTGAGAAATTAAATAAAATTTTAATCGAAAAATAGGAATTAAGAAAATTTTAATTTCGGCAAAAAATAAATACTTGATTAACGAATATTTACATTTGCAATAATGAATTTTACAAATGTCAAATATTTAATCAAGAATATCTAAATTTGCATTAATAAAAGAATTTAGCGTCATCACGAGGTCACTCATTTAGTAGAGATGAATGGTAGCCGGAAGATACACAATTTGCTTGAAAGATTCAGCCTTTCGAACGCAAAAAGATGCAGTTTGCAAAAAGTGAAAGTTCCGTGAAGTTGCAGTTCGGATATGGCCTTTGCTCAGGCCCGATCAGCCTTGATTGGCTCGGTGCCTGGCTGGCACTTACTTCCTATAGGTTAGGTAGGTCGTTTAGATTAGCGCTAATTAGGTTTACTCGTAATTAGCGAATTCCTAATTGTGCGAAATGGAGATATGTCGCAAACCTAAAATTATAATTTTTACCACATAATTAACCATGAAAGTACGAGAAAAGAAAAAATTTTGCAGCTTGCGATTTAATGATAACAGAGTGCAGGAATCAATCAATCAATCAATCAATCAATCAATTAATGGTGAGTCATCCAATGCTGGTCTGCTCCGATACCAAACTGTTGCATACTCGTGAAACATAGTCATAAGTTTGGCGCAGATTCCCAGAACCGACCAGATAATAGAGAGTTACACAGATACCTTGGACTGACTCAGACCTGAACTGCAATCGAAACACTCTCAAACATTCATCAGGGGTGTGAATGCCTTGGCCTCAGACATAGACGAAAGGCCAGGGACTGAGATCATACACGGACGAAGGGAGAGAGGGGAGAGACGAAGGAGGAGAGGGAAGATGACGTCAACGCAATGTTTCCAAAGATAGTATCTTGAACTGTCAGAAGTGACGAGAATCCGAAATGATGCGAATGACAAGCCTCACAATAATCCCAGATGTCGATCTCACAATGTCAAGTGCATCTCCGGAAGGAATATGAAATCAGATCCCCAAATAGTCCTCAACTCGTAACCCCAATGTCGCTGTCTCTGATGTCATCAAAATTCGTAACCATCTCCCAGTCCGGAACCCAGACTTAGACTTAGAGGAGTAGAAGGAGAGAGAGAGAGAGAGAGGAAAAGAGAGAGAGAGGGAGCGGGGGTAGAGGAGGAGAGAGAAGGTCCAGGCCTTTCTCTCTGTTACCGTAGAGGTAGCTATGGCGCTGCCGTTGTAGGTGCTGCGCCAGTCCTGCCTCACCGCGCTGGGCGCTGCTGAAAGCTGCGCTAATGCTGAAGCTGCGCTGATCTGGAGAAGCTGCGCTAATCCGAAGAGCATCTAGCCGGTACCTGCTAACCTACCGGACTGAGGCTGGTACCCAGCCATTTGTAGTGCTGGGCCGGCCTCCTACCCACTGGTACCTACCAGTCTGGACCGTTGATCTAGATCAACGGTCCAGTTTTGAAACTGGTTGGCGCCTAAATTGTGGCAGCCTCAGAACCGCTGCTGGTAGGTCCTAGGGTGGACCGGTACCGGCCTTGTGGCCGTTTGGCCTGGGCCTGCCTGAACCGCCATGGTCCAGGAGGAATAGGTGAAGGTTGGGGTGATTGTGCCACGTTGGGGAGAGAGAGAGAGAGAGAGAGAGAGAGAGAGAG